AAAATAAGGAGACCAGTGTATGTAGACTCACTGTCAAAATCAGCCTGTACTGGTCCCTGTGTAGCTCCTCAGTGTTGTGGTAGGGAGGCTGCTTGTTGGTTCCCAGCTTCTCAGCCCCCAAATAATCACACTGAAACTATATTATTTCAAACAGTGCTTGGCCCATTAGCTCTAGCTTCTTATTGGCTAACTCTTAACCCATTTCTATTAATCTGTGTATCACCATGTGGCTGTGGCTTACTGGGTAAGGTTCCATCCTGCGTCTTTCTCCGGTGGGGCTACATGGCTTCTCCCTGACTGCACCTCCTTTCTCCCAGCATTCAGCTTAGTTTTCACCACCTTACTAAATTCTGCTCTGTGCAGGCCCAAGACAGTTCTTTATTAACCAGTGGTATTCACAGCATACAGAGGGAAATCCCACATCACCTCAGTGCTATGTCTGTGCCCACGGATGCCATGTATTCCTTGGTCAAGATGCCAAGTGAGAGGTGTCCAAAGCAAGGACCATCATTGCCGCTTCTCTTCAAAGTCAAACACAGCTAACTTTGTAATAAACACCTTGGAAATGAATGCTCACCACTTACCATGCCCCTATCTGTGCTAATACCTACGTCACAAATGCTCTTTAGACTGCCCAAGGCCTGATAGGAGTCACCTTGCATGAGGCAATGCTGAAGGAAGCTGGGGGAGGGGTGGTGACAAGAATCCAGCTTTTCATCTCTGTGGCAATTTCCCCCAGGTGGACAGTTTTACTTTGAGAATCCAAGAAATGTAGTCTATAAACCCCTACACCCACTGAGCAAGTGATGCCTATGTTGTTTCCTTGACTACTCTGTCTATGTGGGAGCTGAACAAACCATATCTACCTCCTTCATTCATGCTTTCTTTTAGAAAAACAAATAGAAAACTTAGAGGTAAATGGGAGGTGACATGCCTCTCTGCATTCCTTCATCCACAGGTAGCTCGGGCAGATGACTGGGTCATTTTGTTGTTGCACAGTGAAGAACAGAAGGGACACTGAAGAGCTGGGAAATCCTTCTGTCCTCTTGTGGTGTCCAACTTCTTTAGATCAGAGCAGGGCTAGAGGATTCAGCCTCTCTGGAAACACTATGGGTTGATGATCTTGTCCAGATACTGAGGGAAACTCAATAACTATTGTGAAGAAAACGTGAGTTGAAAAGCTGGTGTAGATACAGGGGAGGAGAATTCCTTACACGTTGATGGTCTGAGTGTAAACTGTTGTAGCCAATGTGGAACTTAGTATGAAGGGGCCTCAGAAACCAGAAAGTTGAACTAATATATTGATTTAATTTTGCCATGCGTTAGCATATACACAAAGGAACCAAAGCTATCATACCAGAGAGATGCCTACACACCCATGTTTACTGTTTGGATATTGTTAATCACCATAGCTAGGATATGGAAGAGCCTTGATACTACCTCCCCCATCAGATGAATGGTTAAAATCTGGTACATATGCACATAGGATTTTATTTGGATGTAAAGAATGAAATTATGTCATTTGCTGGAAATGGATGGAAATGGAGACTATCAAGGGAAATAAGCTGGAGCCAGAAAAACTAAATTTTATTATTGCAGTCTCTCCTCTTTGCGTGGATTCTTTGTAGGTGTATCACATTTCTCAAGACATTCTTTTTTGATGCACAGTTGCAAGACTTATGCATGTGTTAGTGGCTGCTCGTGTAAGAATGTGGACGCCAGAAGACAACCCCTGCTATTATTCAGAAAGGCCTTTGAGACAGGTGTTTTCAATACCTGACGCTTACCAACTAGGCTAGGCCGGCTGTCTTGCAGTCTGCAGGGACCTGTCTGCCTTAGCCTCCACAGCACTGGGATTGCAAGTGAGCACCACCATGCTTGACAGTCTTACATGAGTGCTGGGGACTGAACTTAGATCTGCGTGTGTATAAGGTACCTCAGCTCTCAAGGAATTCTTTTCAAAAGGACACTAGCACTTGGGTCTGGTTACGCATACCTGTAATCCCAGCCACTAATGAGATTGGGATGGGAGCATCACAAGTTCAAAACTGGCCTAGGCAACATAGTAAGACCCAATTTCAGAAAAATGAGGGTCCTGTCAATAAAAATGGAAGGTCAAACTAGTCCTGTATCATTTTGTCTTCGATGGTTACATTTTTTATTTATAGTTAATTTTTTTCATTTGATGTATTTTGATTGTTTTCCCTCTCCCAGTTCCTCTCAGATCTTCCCCATATCACTACCCACCCAGCTTTAGGCTCTTTCTTTCTTTCTAAAGGATTTATTTGCAAATATCATTACTAGCAAATAACATCAAACATATATTTGTGGGTAAACTGTCAGTTCAAACTATTATAATCTAACCTTGGCACCTGATAGCTAGCGCTCACACTCTCTCTCTCTTTCTCTCTCTGTCTCTCTGTCTCTGTCTCTGTCTCTGTCTCTCTCTCCCTCTCTCTCTCTCTCACACACACACACACACACACACCACTCTTGTTTCTGAGTGTGATGGCTCATCTTGGTTGTCAAATTTGACTACATCTGGAATCAACTAAAACTCAAGCAGCTGGGCATGCCTGTGGGATTTTCTTGATTGGATCATGTGTTGTGGAAAGATCCATTCTAAATCTGGGCCACACCATCTGGTGGCAGCCCACATAAAAGGACATGGAAGATGGAAACTTTTGCTTTTTGCTTGCTTGCCCTCTCTTTGCTGAGACACCCTTTCACCAGTATTAGAACACACTTCTTTGGGATTTCAACATAGACTGAAGGCCAGCAGCTCTTTAGTAATCCCCTTGGACTCCAGTTCCATATCAGGAGCTAGCCGTTGTTAGGCTACTCAGACCATAGCCTCTCTCCCTCTCTCTCCCCTCTCACCTTATTCATTTTCTCAGTTTGGGTGGAGAACCCTGACTAGTGCACTGAATACACTGAGGCTGGCCTAGCATTCGCTACACAGCTGAGGTGAGGAAGATTTTGAGCTTCTGGCCCGCTTGCCTATACTTCCTGAATGCTGGTATTGCAGGTGTATACGTCAGGCTGCAAGCTGAACTTCAGGCCTCTTTCATGCTTAGAAGGCATTTTATCAGCTTAGTTAGTCTCAGCCCCAGCTCTGGCTAGTATCTGTTCTCACATGTGAAAATTTATTTATTTTACCCCCAAATTATCTACCTTTTAACAGCCTACTTTCAAAACTAAATATATTATTTATTATCACTTAAATCATTATGATTAAATAGTAGTTGTGATTTTGTTGATTCTGGACAGAACTATTTTCCATGTATAGATTGTGAAAATATATAAGTAATGTACTGTAGATGGAGGTTGCTCATTAGTTTCCTGGCTGCCCAGACCCAAAATAATTACACAGAAACTATATTGCAACACTGCTTGACCTATTAGCTTTAGCTTAGGCTTCTTATTAACTAACTCTTACATGTTAAATTAACCCATTTCTATTATTCTGTGTATTGCCACAAGGCTCATGGTTTACCGGTAAGGTTCTGGAGTCTGTCTCCTTCGGCAGCTACATGGCGTCTCCCTGACTCCACTTCCTTTTCTTCTCTATCTCTGCTTGGAATTCTTGTCTTGCTCTATTCTGCACTGCCATAAACCCAAAGCATATTATTAACCAGTGATAATAAAACATATTTAGAGCATCCAGAGGGGACTCCCACATCAATGTACTTTCATAATAAAATTATGGAACAAATGTGGGATGAGTATGAACATTCCACAGCTCTTTTGGCTGCATTGGTCCACATCTTGTGGGTGGGACCCAAGTTCAATCAGAAAGTGCTTGACTGATCCCTTTCATAGCATTTGTACCACCATTACACTGGTAGCCTTATCTTACCAGGCCAGTTTTGTTAATTCTAGTTCATAGGGTTCACAGCTAGGTATAACAGTGTTGATGACTTTTCCTCCCTAGTAAGCACTGTGAAAGCTAGTCAATAGGATGAAGCTTCCAGATCAGTCTCAGCTTGATTTCTGTGTGTCCTATGACCCAGGTATGTAGTGTCTTCAGTGGTAGAGTCTTACTTTAACTTTATGGTAAGGGTAACTAGAAGCAATGGCAATAGCTTGCAATGTTGGGGGTGCCATCCCTGTGGCTAACAGCTCAAAAAGATATAACCCATACCTGGAACAAGGCCTTTTATTTGATAGCCTTTGGTGTCTGAGTGAGGTATTGTTTCCGCTACATGTTAGCTCCCTATATCCATTCTGCTTCAAGACTTCAGCAGAATTCTTGTGTTTTTATCCAGAGAGATATCCAAACCCTTCAAATTTATAGCAAAGGAACCCCCCCCACACACACACACCTATTGAAGTGACTAAACCTTCCAGAATACAAGTGAAAATGTCTCTGTGGCCTGCACATGTTTCTCTGTGGTTGTGGTAGCAGAGGCAAGTCTTATTAAATAACACTGAGTCCTTCTACTTTTTTCGTAAGTATCAAATGTATTAGTAAGTGATCTGCCAGTCCAGTTCCTGGCTGTGGGGCCATATAAGTGTTAAAGCCTTACTTGATTTGACAAAGTTAAAGCAATCGGAGGAAATGTTCCTCTATATAAATGGTAGACTTAAACTCAGAGAGAAAAACAATTTAAATTGAAAGTTGATATATTTCTTATATTGATTGTGAGTTGAACCTTTAATGGCTGAGCCAGCTCTCCAGCCTGAAAATCGATGTTTCCATAACAGAGTTGCAACTGGAAACCAACTTTTTTGGGCCAGTGAACTTTTAATTCTGGTGGTCAGTTTCTGAAGACCCGCTAGAAAAAGTTTTGAGGGATTTTAAAGTTGACTTTAGGTGACTCACGGGGTGTCAGGCACAGTTCTAGTAGCTTTTTTCTATGACCCAGACATCTACAGATGTGGATTTCATTGCTGTTTCCCCCAGTGCTACACAGTTGTCTCTTCTTTTTGAAACTGCCCACCAGGAGTGTTCCCAAACCAGATATTATCAGGAATCAGACGTCAGTAAACAAAGCAAGTGATGCAGAAAGTTCTATTTTTATTGGAAAGCAAGCATTTGAGGAAGCTCCGTGGTTAGAAGTTATACAGAGAGCAAACGTGAGTAGAAGGTTGTACATGAACCAGAGATCTGGGACCATATTACAGGCGGCTTCTGGAAGGTATCATAGACTTGACTCTGGCGAGGTGAGTCCTAGAAAGAGAAGGGGTAAACAAGGGCAGTCAGAAGTTGAGGTGTAAATGAATGGGTGTCGGCCTCTTTCAGTTCTACCAGAACCAGTTTCTACAAATTAGGGTACTCAGCCGCTAATAACTCCGACGGTCCTCAAGTGTGTCCGTGGTTTCTGTTGCTCTCCCTTTCTTAATGCAAACAAAGTAGTGAACACTGTCTTTCTGCTCAGGCTCAGGCTGCACTCCCAAGGTTGCAAATGTCTAGCAGTGACCTCTGTACACTTCCTACCTTGTGTTCACTTTTGAACTCGTCCTGTATCACAAATACAGATTTAAGAAGAGAACAACAACAGCAAAAAACCCTTTTACTTTGTTCTTGGAGACTCCCGTACTCACATATGGTGTATTCTGATTACTGCCAATCCTGCCATCTTCTATCTTCTGTACATCTTAATTAGGCCACTTCTCCCCACAAGTCTCCTTCTCACAATCATGTCTTTTTGTTTCGTTTTATGACCAGCTGGGTCTAACCAGGGCCACTAACATGACCACAAGCATGGGACTGTCCGTTGGACTCTACCAGGCTCATCATTAGGCAGACAACTGAGAACAGTGTCCGCCCCAAACAGAGATCTTTGTAATCCTATCTTCTATCTGATGGAAAAGAAAACTAATCCATAACCCTGTGGTTCTGGTGGAAAACGGAGGTAACAGGGACTCAAGAACACCCCAGTGTGGAGAAAGATCTGCAATAATACCTTATGTTAATATAAGCAAGAAACCAATTTTTGCCAAGTCAAATTATAAGAAAAAATAAGATTATGTCATAAAATGTTAAATATGATTTCATAGGTGGTACATATTTAATAATATAAACTCCATCCATGTTTAAAAAAAACCCTGAAAAATACTTCCTTAATGTCAGAGTGTAGTACCCGTTGTTAACCTGGGTAGTTTACTCTGCTTCTCTCATACCTAGTACTCATTTTTCCGGGGCATGCTCGTTATCTTTCTCAAAATTTGTAACATAATACTTCTACTGATAGGAACAAATGGGTATCAATCCCATGATGGACCCAGGGCTTCCTTATATACCACATGCAAGCATCAGGATAAATATCTCTCCTATTGGTAGAAACATACCTTGATATTGATCTTGTGCTTTAGTTGGTCGATGACTACATTATCCCTTGAGTTGAGTTTGATATAGGTCTGCCCCTCCCTTTGTAAAATAGATATCTTGATTAAAATTTCTTCTTTGTTGATAGTGGTCTTGTGATTTCTTTTTGTACTGTTCAAGATATCCTTTATAGGATTGTGAGCGTTCTTGTCCAAACTGGCGTTGTTGTCCAAATTGGGCTAAATCTTCCTCTGTTTTTACCTGGCTAGACTTTTGTTGCACAGAACTCTCATCATCATTATATTGCTTACGTACTTGTGATAGCTCCTCATTCATAGCAAAACCTTTATGCTTAGTTTGTTGAGAAAAACCTTGTAGGGATTTTTGTTGGCCAAAAGATTTTAGTTGGGTGTCTTGGGATTTTACTTGGCCATAAGATTTTAGTTGGGCATCTTGGGATTTTGCTTGACCATAGGATTTTAGTTGGGTATCTTGAGATTTTACTTGGCTATAGGATTTTAGTTGGGTATCTTGAGATTTTACTTGGCTATAGGATTTTAGTTGGCCATCTTGAGATTTTAGTTGACCGTAGGATTTCAGTTGGGATTCTTCACCATAGGATTTTCGTTGACCATAGGATTTTAGTTGGGCATCTTGGGATTTTAGTTGGCCATAAGATTTCACTTGGGAATTTTGAGACTTTAGTTGTCCATAGGATGATTTCAGTTGAGATTCATGGGATTTCACTTGTCCGTAGGATTTCACTTGTCCATAGGATTTGACTTGGGAGTTTTGGGATTTTAGTTGTCCATAGGATGATTTCAGTTGAGATTCTTGGGAGTTCACTTGTCCATAGGATTTCACTTGGGATTCTTGGGATTTTAGTTGTCCATAGGATGATTTCAGTTGAGATTCTTGGGAGTTCACTTGTCCATAGGATTTCACTTGTCCATAGGATTTGACTTGGGAGTTTTGGGATTTTAGTTGTCCATAGGATGATTTCAGTTGAGATTCTTGGGAGTTCACTTGTCCATAGGATTTCACTTGGGATTCTTGGGATTTTAGTTGGGACACTTGTCCTTTACGACAAAGTGCAGCCCCCTTTACTCCTGTATGTTCTTGTGAAAGACGCGACTGTGACATTTCACCATCCTGGCCATATACTTGGTGTTTTGTTTGCATGAAAACACTTTCTTCAGCTACATCATCACTGCCTCCTTTGAGCCCATAACTGACATGACCTTTCATAAATCCCGACGAGCTACTAGTGAAGCCACCTTTCGTGAAGCCACCTTTCGTGAAGCCACCTTTCGTGAAGCCACCTTTTGTGAAGCCACCTTTTGTTCCACCTGGTAATTTATAATAAGAATGTTTGTTATATCATCTGCATAGTTCATTCCGAGTCTTATTCCAAAAATTGCCTCATAAAACTGTTGATGTTTCCTCCAGGGATTTGGGTTTGGGTAGAGAAGAATTAAGTCTCATCAAAAAGATTGCCCTATGGAAGGAATTGCCCACTCCATGAAGGATACTCTCCCTGAGTGACTTTCTCTCTAGCTACTGTCTCTATACTCACCATACTGCCCAACCACAGCGTCCTGTCTTTCCAGAATGAGGAGCAGAGAGAGGATGAAGACTGAGGACTTCATCTTGTCAGGAAGTGCTTTCACTGAGAAATGAGCTGAGTTGCTCATTTATATCTTCTTTAGCTGGGTGTACCACTGATGTGGCTGAGGCTACAAAAGATGCTGCCCCCCCCCTTTTTATTATCTCTAAATGTCAACTTCCTCCCCTCTGCACAGTTGGGGACATTGGTAATGTTCCCAGGGGTTTAGTGCAGGGACGCAATGTTTTCTCTGTCATAGCCTCAGCAAATATTTATCAACCCTCTGAGTTTATCACACACTCTTTGCATTTTCAAACAAAATCCAGGCTAGAGTTTTTCATGCTCTGAAGGTAGCCAGGGCCAAACCAAGTTTTCCTAGTCACAGTGTAGTGGTGTTCTTTCCATTCTGGCATTGTTTAGCATGCTATCTCAAGAAGCCCATGAAGCTACTTGTTTTACATGGAGTTTTACATAGCTTCACATTTACATACAAAGAAGCATTCACATGTGTAGAACAACATAGAAAGAGTTGAATAAGAGAAAACCTCTAATAGAAAGTTTGAAGAATAAATGGAGAGATTGAAGCTGTAGCTATGTGGTAGACCACTTGCCTGTCACGTGTGAGGCTCTTGATTCAAACCTCGGCTCTGGAAAAAAAAAATAATCAGGGAACATCAATGCCCAAAAGTAGCTCTGAGCTATATAACTATAAACGTTGATGTGCCAATGTCTATATTTATCTAAGAGAGATATGGGTGTTTGCTTTTATGATTAGTTTGCTCTGCTAACTTTGGTAAGACAAGACCGCCATGGTTGTGATGGTTTGCTAGCTGTGGCATTTTAGGTAATCCGTGTGTGCAGTGGAATGAGCTTGCGGTGTATCTGGAAGGCAAGGTGAAGTGTAGAAGCATTTGAAAGGGGGAGGTATTGCAACAATTGAATGGTGACAGGAATCACTATTGGACAAACAAGAAAGACTCTCGCTTTCCTTACTGAATGTATGTCATGGAATCCAACAAAGAATAAACCCCAGTATTTTAATTTAGAAAGCTCTGACAGGAACGTTATCCAGCCGCACTAGTAGTGGGCTGTGGTGAACACTTCGCCACCGGTGATGCCACTAGCATCCTGAGACAAGATGGAAGACTTGCCTTCTTGTTTAGAAGGACAGCTTTGTGTGACTGTGAGAACAATGGCTTTGGTGACTCAGACACACCTTCCAAAGGACAGGACTGCGGACATGCTCTTGGGGGAAGAGAACATCCCTGCAGTGTGTTCCGCTTCATACTCCACCATAATGCTGTAGTCTGGGGAGGAAGTCTACTTGAAACATATTTCCAGCCGTCCCACCCAACATTCTGGGTAGTACTGTATGGAAGAGGCAAAGAAAAAGCCAAACTAGGCCCTTACAAAAAGAAAATGCATAAAATAAATGTAACGTTTAAATAAAATGCTTGAGTTGCACTGAGCCACTCTGACCTCTTATAAAGGGAAGTAACTGTTTCCCTCGGGAGACCAGTGATTGCTTACTGTGTCCACTCAACCCTATCTCTCCTCCCATGTCTCTTATTTGTTTTAGAGAAATCCAGGAAATTCTTCAATCAAAGGTAATAAGGACAGGATCTGAAAACTTTGATCATATTTAGGAATTAAGAACAAATCTCTTGACAATCTCTTTATGAAATGCAGATGAAACTCAGGAATAATGTCTGTGAGCAAAACCCAGGAAGTTGAGGATCACAGATGCCATGCAATTATGCTATACATTCCAGAAGAGTATGCATTGAAATGAAAATTTAAATCTAAACATTCAATATATTGGTGGAGAATGAAAAGAGAAGTGAGCAGTTGGAAGGATAGAAAAACAAATGGAGAATAAGACAGACTGATTCTGGAGAAGGACAGTAAAACTCTTGCTAGATAGTTTTAAAAAATACAGGTCATTTTCCTTTTGAAAACATTTTATTAACAAGGATGGCAAAATCCAACTCAGAAGTTGTGAAATAATATGCTTGGGAACGGAAAAGGAAATTTAAGAGCTTTGTTTATATCTATGTAAGAAATTATTTGGCAACTTGAAAAATATAAGATAAATTATCCTAAGAATAGGCAGAAACCCTAAAGTGTATGAATACCACGGGATTACAAAAGCCCATCCAAAATTACTTAGGCTAAGGTCAGCGCCTGTGTGAAGGGGATGAAGTCCTGGGTGAACGTGCCTTGTTGACATGAGCATGGCCATGGCAAGGACACCAATACTTCAGACCCAGGGGAATGGCAAGGCCTTCACTTGGCCCAAGTATGGATGATGATAAATTGTTGACCTTTACCTAAAACTGGTGTGTACAGAAACTACCACGCACGGCTTCCTCATCCAGATGTCGCCAACCTGAGACTGCTCCCCTGCAGAGACCTCTCACTGAGATTAGCTTACCTGCTTTTTCCTTCACCCCATATTATAAAATCAATGCACTTAAGTTTCCGCTGGTGGCGTGTCTTCATCAGTGTGCATGGCCACCTGATCCCAGATTGTCTAGACTCGTCTCTGTCCTTTGTTCATTTCCAGTAATGGCCCCAGTCAGGTCAGGTCCAAAGCTGTGCAGGTTGCACAGCCATCTATGCCGTGCCTGGGTGTACAGAATCAGTCTTCAACTAGGTGGATGAGGAGTCCTATACTTTAATATGTGTGACATGAAATTTACTATAGTAAATAGTTTTTATTTTTCAACTTCATGCTATTAAGTACACTCATATTGCCAGTGTCTATCTCCAGATGTTTTTCATGATTACAATTCACATCTGTGGTATTAGGTAACACTACATTTCTCTCTCATCTCAGGCCCTCATAACCTATTAACTCATTATGTGTCTAGGAATGTTATCATCCTGGGTACTTATACAAGTGAGACAATACAATACTTATTCTTTCATGTCTGGTGTTGTTTCTAATTTAATATCTTAAAATTTCAATTTTTTTAATAACTCAAATTTTAAAAATATTTTTGTCTTATGTTAATGGGTGTTTTGCCCGCATGTATACAATGAGCCAAATATGTATTCAGCGCCTGTGGAGGCCAGAAGAGGGTGTGAATCCTCTGTAACTGGAGTTACAGATGCTTGTTAGCAGCCATGTGGATGGGGGAATTGAACCCAGGTCCTCCGACAGCAACCAGTACTCTTAACTGCTGAGCTATTTCTCCAGCCCCATCCCATAACTTCATATAATCAGGAGTTTCCAAGTGTTTCAGGACTGCTACCATGAAAGGAATCAGTTGAATCAAGTCAGAAAAAAAAAACCCAAAATGCCAGAAAAGTTATATATTTTTTTAAAAACTTGGAATTATATTTTTAGGAGTATAAGAAATGAGTAATTAGATATGTTTTTTTTCAGCATAAAAGGAATCAGAAAAATTACAAGTTTATCAAATAAGATGAGGAAAGTACTTCCCATCTGAACAAGATGTTTGTAAGTTCCCGGGAGGAAAGCAGAGGTAACTCTGCATAGCATCCCCTAGCCTGGGCTGTGCTCATTCATGCTTCCTCCACCACCGACACTCTGATAAGTGGGATGGCTACATCCATTTTTAACACAGTCTAAACGTGTCCCAAGTGGCAGACTTGCCATACCCATTGCAACTGCAAACCAGGGTGTCTCTGCAGGCCTCACACAGGACCCCCGCTGGCAACATAGGAGTGATATTGATCACCAAGGAGGAATCACACATATGAGGTGTGTTATGTGACAGGTGCTCTGCTCAAATCTCTCAGAGCAAAAACAAACAGGGAGACTTTCCCCAGATACAGCATCCTCGGTTTTCGCCCAGTCGTGTCCTGGTTCCGCGAATGTCCACTTCCAGCAGGATGTAACTAGCTGAAGCCAGCTCCGTCCTAGCCCTCTACACATGCACTTTACCTTCGAGCCCTGAGATGGAAGCTGCTGGAATAGTCAATTGAGAAAGGAGATATTTTTAGAATTCTTCTTAGAACTCCTGTTAAACTCAACGCTGTAGTAGATCTCGATAACCCCCTCCCATAGGCACACAAGCGTTGAAGACTTGTTAGTGGGAGGTGCTTTGACCACAGGGAGGTGTGACCAATGGGAAGCAAAGGCTTATTGACCCATACCGTGGATGCATAGGAAATGTAGTGATGGTGGCTTAGAGAACATGGTGTTAATCATGACTTTTCCGGGTGAGGACGCCTAAGGTTTCCTGAGCTTCATTTGCACTGTGGTTTGGATATGATGTGTCCCGAGAAGGAGTCGCATACAGAAACCATGGTCCTCATTTTGAGGATCCCACCACCAAGAAGGCATTGTGATATAATACCTCTGGCATCATTGGTAAATCGATCCATTAGTAAATTGATTCCCTGATGATATTATTGGGAAGTGATGGAAAAGAGGAATTGAGCCCCAGTTGGAGGAAGTGACCCCTGCAAACATGCCTAGGGAGGGTGTACCCACCGGGAGGGTGTACCCGCCCCTCTCAATATTTCTCCTCCATCTGCTTACTGGCCTGATATCACACGTGAGGAATTTCTCTGTCACATGTGCACGCTACCATGCTGCTCACCCTTGCCATAGACCCACAGCAATGAAACAGCAACCATGGACTGAAGCCTCGGAAACCGCCGTGCAGAATCAATCTTTTACTATTTTAAATCATTTGCAACAAGCTTTTCTCACTGCAAGGAAGGGCTAGAAAATGCAGCAACTTCTTGGGGTCTCTCCGTTTCTCTTGGGACCCATCTGACTGCCACTGTTAGAGGAGCAGGCCACTGGTAGCTATAAATGACATTTGCGTCTGTTTTCTAGAGGACCTATGGGACCATTCTGTTGACTGTTCCTCTTTCTCTTCTTGTTCTTTTACTCAGTGGGAGTTCAATTTCCTCCAAGTCCTCCACCCTCCAGAATCTCAAGGAAGCTTCTGTGGGACCTTTAAGCTGGGATGAGTGTCTCACGATGTTGCTGGATACTGAATCCCTTAGACCTAAGGTTTGAGACCAGGACAAGAGCCTTTAGACACATTTCTGTTCTTTCCCGTGATATTTATACAGTTTAGGTTTTCTAGATATTCTTAAGGAAAGTACCATACTGTCTGTTACTCTC